CGGACTTGAATGCATGAAAAATGGATGCAATATACAGGCATGATAAATAAAACATGATGCTATACAACATTCAAGGAAAACATGTAAATAAAAGGGTAAGAAATACGTGGAGTTGGAAGATTATTAGAACAATTTGAATAAAAAATGAGGGGGGAGAGAGAGAGAGAGATTATTACAATAATGAATCGATTCAGCTAAATTAATGCTAAATCTAACAAATCATATGAAATATGCAAAGGATCAGTAGCTTCAAAACCATCCAGATAAAAAACTGTCTGCTATGTTCTTGGGGAAACATCCAGCTAAACACAAAAATGGGCCAGCCAAATAGAGAGATAGCTGGTTGAATTCATTATCCGCCTGAGATTTAAGTCAGTGTAAAATTTCCAGAACAGAAGCCACAAGATACTTTCTAAGGGTTGTTTACCCCTCTTTGATTCTTTGCTTACAGAGATCACTTAGGAAAGAGACAAATGGGGCTTAACTCTCAATAATGATATAAACAGATATATACAACAGATATTTTGTAATAAATCAATAATTAAATGAATCAAAAACAAGAACAAATTCAAGCCCAAGAAATAAATAGGAACCTACATCTTCTCTTTGTGAATAAGGGCAAATCAATACCCAAATCCATGCTATTAAGTGGAGAGCGTAAATTAATACAAATCATTTGTTGGTTGAAGCTTTGCTTTTTAAAACAAGGGATTCATTAAACTTATTGAAAGCTCCTCATCTAGTCATAAAACAAGGCTGGTTACACCCCTTTCTATATTCACAAATGTTTGAGAAGGGAGATTTCAATGTTCTTTGACTCAAAATCTCTTATCTTACTTCCAAAAACTCAATAAAAATGAGAGGATACAACTTTCGCAACACCAAATCCCATGGATCCCTTAAGCAATCCTATGAAACAACCCTTAGCACCCATTGATATTAAGCAAAGAATTGGAACAGATAAGTTGATACATTTGAGAGATAGAACATATGGAGAAGAGGAGTGTAATAACAAAAAAAACTACTCTACTTATTGAACTTGTGAATGGATGGCTAAAACTACTCCCAATCACATCCACAAGGATCCAAAAATACATATGAACTATATAGTAGAGCTAAGGAAAGCAAGAAAGTAAAGAAAATGCTATCAATTTAATGGATTAGTGGCTAAAACTACTCCCTCCACATCCATGAGGACTTACAACAACTCTACAACAATTACACAATGAAAATAAGCTTAAAATGAAGAAAGGAAGAGAGGAAAAGTAATTAAGAGTACGAATATCACCTCCAAAAGAGAATTGGTCCTTTTGATTTACAAGCTCCTTTCTTATTCCCTCGAGACACCTTAGATGTGTTATTTTATGTTCAAGAGTCTTAGAAAGGTGCCTAGGATCAAGCTTCAATGAAGTTTGGGTGTCCAAAGTTAAGAGGGTGTTAGGTAGGAGGTATGGTTAAGAGAGAAAAGGGTTAAGAGGTTTTTGAGAGCTTTGGGCAAATTTTTTAACCCTTTGAAATAAGCTGTCGAACTCTATATATAGAGCTCAGGGTGTAAATATCTGAGCTATTTGTGAAAAGTGTGCTGGATAAGCTGAAATTCCTAAAAATGCTCTGTACCCGAAACATTCAGCCGGCTCCCCCTTTGGTGTCCGGCCGTATGCATTTTTGATCAGTCAACAAATGGTGTCCATCCAGTCAAAGAATATACCATCAGATTACCAAGGTAAGGTTCACCTGGACTCAGAGGAGAAACAGGTATTTTAGAGGATTTCATCGTTTCTATTCATTCTTATTGTGTCATTTGCTCAGTTGATTTTAAAGAATGCAACACTTTCGATTTTGAAAATATGAGCCTCAAAACATCGTGGTAATGTTTGGAATTGCACCACTAAACTCATTTTGAAAGAGCTTTCCATTTTGGTCGAAAAACGTTTTGTCCAAAACAGGCATCGGCGTTGTTTAAAGCTTGATCCTCAGATTTCTTGCTATGAAACCAGTAAAATTAATACATCTCGTCTTCATCATCAAGAACTCAAAAGGGGGTGCTCAAGTCTTAAGACTAATAAAAAATGAGGTGTCTATAAATATGTAAAACAAATGGTGAAGTAGAAATATATATATATATAAATAATTTGTTGCAGTATCAAAAACTTTTAGAAAATCTTCATATAAGGCTACTTGGTGCCAATTCAATTCTATGGGAGTCAGTACTCCTCTTATTGACGTTGAAAAAAATAAATCTATTACTTTTATTTGTTTACAAGCTCTCTTTAACATATTATACGTTGAATGCCACCTGCCGTCTATATCTAAAATTAATTTTTTAAATGGCATACCTTTTTGTTGACAAATTTTTCTGAATTTTGAATTTCGATTAGCAAAAGATGTAATAGTAAGAATTGTATTTTTTATTACTAATACAGAAGTCTCGTATACATGCATAGCTTTTTTAACAATTAAGTTTAAAATATGAGTACAACAACGAATATGAAATAAATCACCAAATAAGTAATTGTAAAGTTGAATTCAAATGGGTTACAGTTTAATTGTAATATGTTGCATTATCTAAATTAATGTTAAATATTTTATTTTGCAAAGCCCACTTAAATCATGTAATATATTTCTTATTTCTACATCAAGCGAATGACTAGTGTATGGAAGTTTAACTAATCTAAATGAAATACTTCTTTTATTTAATTTTCAATCATTATCAATAAAATATATAGTGATACATTGATATTCTAAATCATTATTTGACCACAGATTAGATGTTAAACAAACTCTTCTATTCAAATTTTTGAAGATCAAATAATTTACTTTTAATATTTTCAAATTCCTTTAAAATCCTGTTTCTAGTAGTATTTCTTAAAAAAATTTGACATTGCAGTGCAAAACCTTCGTGAACCATTTGTAAAAAAATCTGGACATTCACTAGTAGTAAATTGTTGTTCTTTTTCTAATAATATAATCACTACATAATTTTGTGCACGTATATGATTATATGAAAATGTTTGCAAACACCAGTTGATGAAACCCCTAATTGCATTTGACTTCTAATATTAGGTTGTTAACTTTGTAAATCTTTGTTAGCATGTTATTTTAGATGAATAGTACCCCCTAGAAATGCAACACTAAGTAAATGTGTACAATATTTATATTTTGCTTTAATTATAATTGTACTATCAAGACTATTTACAGATATTTTTTCGAAATGCTATCGTGCCCCTAGGTAATGATCCAGCTATTGAAAGAGAGATATTAGGTATATTAGAAGGAGAATCAACAGATTCATGTTGTGTAGTATATGCATCAATATCGACATAAATATTAGGAATATAGGATCCATAGTAATGTAAGTAAAATAATATATAAGAACTAACAATTAATTTAAATAATGAATAAACAATAATGAGTAAATAATAGCAACTAATATTTGTTAATAAATAATTAATGTAACAAAATAAGTAAATAATAAATTTAATTCAAATAATTAATGTTAATGACCGGTGAATGCGATACAAAAGTTAGCTTCTTCTGATAAAAGGTTCTTCTTGCACAATTGTAATTGCTACTTAGGTATGAGATTTCAAAATTAATTGAGAGATTTGAGAGTTGAGAGTTTGAGAGAGAGAATTATTTGTGAGAGATAAAATGGGAGATGAGTGATATTTATAAAAGTTTAGGAGGATGGGTGAATTTGTATTAAAAAAAAAGATTTTTGAGATGTATAAACGGCCACATGACTGTTTGAAATGTTTTTTTTTTATAGAATTTTCTGACTGTTGAGAGACCAAAGAGTTATTGGGAGGGGGTGGGCCGGGGGTCGGACTAGGACGCTCGTAAGGCTTCCAAACAGAGGGCTGAAGGTCTCGGGCCAGGCTTAGCCGGGCTGGGCTCATCTGGGCTGCTACTTAGGTATGAGATTTCAAAATTAATTGAGAGATTTGAGAGTTGAGAGTTTGAGAGAGAGAATTATTTGTGAGAAATAAAATAGGAGATGAGTGATATTTATAAAAGTTTAGGAGGAGGGGTGAATTTGTATTAAAAAAAAAGATTTTTGAGATGTATAAACGGCCGCATGACTGTTTGAAATGTTTTTTTTTTATAGAATTTTCTGACTGTTGAGAGACCAAAGAGTTATTGAGAGGGGGTGGGCCGGGGGTCGGACTAGGACGCTCGTAAGGCTTCCAAACAGAGGGCTGATGGTCTCGGGCCAGGCTTAGCCGGGCCGGGCTCATCTGGGCTGTAGGCGAGTTTCAGGTGGCCACAGACTATTTTTATACCCCTATACATAAACTTAAGCACTCAAGTATTTGTAGTTTATCGACAATCATGGATTTAGGCATCAAAGAGTCTCCAACTAAACATATCAATCGAAGAGACTTCCATTTGTGATTGCAATTCTCTAAAATAAAGTTTTTATAGTGTGGTCAAGTTCTCCAATGTTATTTATGTCGTGTGGTAAAGTTTTTTTCTCACATAAAAATAAAGTTTTTGTAGATTGAAAGCATGTATTGTGCTTTAAAGTATTGTTTGTTTGATTAACTGTGTTTTTAGAAGGGATTAATATTTAATAGTGCTGGAATTGTTAATTTTGAAGATAAATAGTGAAATCTCATGTTTGGTAAGCCATAAAATGAATGTCATTATATCTATTGCTATTCAATGAAAGAAGACGCCAATCTTTTATTTATTTTACACAAATTTTTTATTTGAATAAACTAACATGTTCTAAATTTTTCTCCTAATATTTCCTCCAAAATGTAAGAAAACTTTTTTGAAACAATTTTAAATTTTTTTTGCCATTTTTTTTTCTTTTCTTCTCCACAAGCCAACCAAACAAGAAGGGAGAAAAAATTATAGAAATTCTCAATTGTCTCTATTTTTATTTTCTCCCTAACCAAACAAATATGATGGATGACATATACCTTTAAATGTCTAGTACCTTCTAGACACATGACCGTTATTCCGTTAAATTAAAACATGAAACCCCCCTCGAAAGCAAAATGGCTTCCTACGAAAGACATAAAAAAACAAAAACAAAAACAAAAACAAAAACAAAAATCAGAAACTGCAGAGAAACACAACCCTCAAGCCCCAGCTCTCCTTCAAAACCTAAAACATTCTCTGGTCTTTGTTGGTAAGTACTACTTTTCTCAAAACCCTAATTCCAAATATACCCTAATTCTCTTTCTACATGTACTACATTCCATAGGAGTGTATAGGAAATCAAACCTAAATTGAAGAAGCATTTGAAGGGTTAAGAGTTGTTGGTGAAGGGGAGCAAAAGAAAAAGAGGTTGGTGCTGTGAAGGGAAGATGAGGAGAAAGCAAGAAGACAAAGATGAGGTGGAGCAGAGGAGTGTATGTAAGCATGGTGGTGGAGATGGAGTGGCATGGTTTAGAGGTGCGATGATAGGGAAAGGAGGTTTTGGGTCTGTTTATTTGGCGAATTTGAAGAAACCCAAATCGAAATACGGTTGTTTTCCGGCAATTATGGCTGTGAAATCGGCTGAGGTCTCTGTTTCGGGTTCAATCCAGAAGGAGAGAGAGGTTTTGAGTAACATTGGGCAGTGCCCTTATATAATTCGATGTTTTGGGGATGAGATCACGATGGGTTTGACTGGCGAAATGGTGTTTAATTTGTTGTTGGAGTATGGTTCTGGTGGAACCCTAGCTGATTTGATCAAGAAATCAGGTGGGTCTGGATTGCTTGAATCTGATGTGAGGTACTATACTAGGTCTATTCTTCGTGGGTTGATTCACATTCATGATTGTGGTTATGTTCATTGTGATTTGAAGCCTGAAAATATACTAATTGTGTCTAAAACCACTGGTACTGCTACCAAACTTAGGGTTAAGATTGGTGATTTTGGGTTGGCAAAGAGGGCTACACAGAATAAGAAAAGGAAATTGGATCCTTACTTGAGAGGCACTCCTATGTATCTTTCGCCTGAAGCGGTGGTTGATAATATTCAAGAGCCTCCCTCTGATATATGGGCTCTTGGGTGTATTGTTCTTGAGATGCTAACCGGGAAGCCTCCGTGGGATGGGAAGCAAGATTTGGGTGCTGAGGTTTTTCTACAGCAGATTGGTGAAAGTCATGAATCGCCTAAAGTCCCGAGCACAATATCAAAAGAGGGTAAGGAGTTTTTGAAGGGTTGTTTTGCTAGGAAGTCCATGTATAGATTGACGGCTGAAATGCTCTTGAATCACTCATTTGTAGAAGGATTAGCTGATGATGATGATGATGATGATGATGGAGAAGTTGAAGATGAGGTTGGCTTGTCATTGATGTTATATGAGACTGATAACGAGTGCATTTATTCGGATTCCTCCTTTTCAGATGATTGTAGTTTCGTATCGGATGATGAATTCTTCCTTTCTTCTTGGTCAGAAGAGGAAGATGAGATTAACAGTGCAGAGTTTTCTAGTTTTGCCAAAGAAAAAAAATTGGAAGGTTAAGAAAGAGGAAACACTACAAGCTCCATCATAGCTCCTGTACTCGATGATGAAATTAATACGTCAAAGCAGGTTTCAACAAACACAATCCAGCAGTGCCCCATTAATTTTACCATTCATTTATAATACAATTACTTTGGTGTTTAGCATTCATCATACATGTACTTAGAAGTATACTTGAGCAATTATTTTACATGAATTCTTTCATTGTAGATATTACATATGGATATCAATTAATGACAAATTCATTTCCAAAGGTCAAATTTGTTGAAATTTTAGTTAATATAATTAAAATTTCTATATTATTAATGAAAAGCATTGTTGTTCCATTTTTGTTCTACTTAAAATAGAAGGAATCTTGCAATTCAAATGATACCTGATATGGGATATTGTGATCTATCTGGTTTGTATTCTTCTTTTTTAGTCTTAACTTTTTTGTTGACAAAACGTTCAGTTTTCGCAAAAACCCATTTGACTCAAGGAAATTATGTAGGTAATTTCGGTTTCCAAATCTTTCAGTGCTTCACATGCACATTAGCCATTTGCATCTTTAATTAGAATTTACACTGGAAAGCATTGACGACTTCAGTACACCAACATGTTCATACCATTGTAACATTGTTCAAATGATGCTATTTGGTCAACTGCTTGTCTCACCTGGAAAGATGAGAATGGTCATTAAAGTGATGCTACATGCATATTTATCAAAATAAATAAATAAATAAATAAAACAGTGATGCTACATGCATGTGTTGGTCAATATTCAGAAAGTCCGAAACTCATCCAATCTGTTTTGTCCTAGTTAAATAATTAACCAAACTGGCAGTGTTAGATTTGAGCAACTGGGCATAAATTATTGAGATGGTATTTTGGGTGTTGTGGAAAGCTGACAAAATAACAAGCATTTTTGCAGCAGATTTTCTCAAAACTGACTGAAAAAGAATATTATATATGCTTAACTGATTTCCTTTTCGTCTGTTTATGGTCTCATGCCCCAAGGAACTAGTCTATGGCTGACATGAATTTGCTCATTTGCTCGTTAACTGACCTTATGTTACATTTATTGGCCAAGAGTTTAAAGAACTTGCGGATTCTCATAGTGACCATTCCACCCAAATGTCTCTTATATTCTGTTTGTTTTTTTTCCTACCTCTGCTTGAAGTGCTATCAAACTGAGCATGAATTTGATGTTACATCATTTCATAGGGAAATTCTACTATACACATCCTCTGAAAAGGGTGTACCATATGCATCCTTAGTTATGCCATTTTCTTCTTTAGTTATAACAATATTTTAGTTATGACTCATGAGATTTTGGTTATACCTCATGTTGGCTATGGGGTTTTTGTTTAAATTTTTTTTTTGTGTTTGTTATGACTCAGAAAGTATAGAGTTATGCCATTTTTTTTTTCTCTTTAGTTATAAGGTGCATATGGTACACACCCTTTGAGGGGTGTGTACCATAGTCTTTCCCTCATTTCATAAGATAGTATTAAGCATAGTTTGTCCCAAAAAAGATTCATGTCAATTTACTCATATCAATTCCCTAAAACAACCTCTGCATATATAGTTCTTAAAAGTGTGTTTTATTTTTGTTTCATGATCTTATCTTATTTCTCTTCTCAGTTACGTTGAAAGAAAAAAGAAAAAAAGAAAAAAAGAAAAAAAAAACATAGGACGAAAAATAAAAAGAAGTTGAAATCTACTAAAACCTTGTCACTTTAATGTTGTGTTTCGCTTTTGGATTATGGAGGGAAATGAAAAGGAAATAGAAATGATACGAAATGATGTGAAAGGTGTTAAATTCTTTTCTTTTGTTTGGTTGGGTTAAGAAAATGATTAGGTTTTTGTCAAAAAGATCCATATTTTGTTTGGTTATCCATAAAAAAATGAATATGTATAAATAATTCAATTTCACTTTCATTTTTCTTTCCCTGGACAAACCCGAAAACTATAATCTCTGTTGGAGGGATCATTAGGCAGTATCAAACTCATTTAATCAAATTTTGATATTTTAAATGAAGTTGCAGATGAGGTAGTAAAGTGGCATCGTATTTCAGAATAGTAATATTCTGATCTATCTTTCTGTACATTGCTAGTCTGCTACAGATGCACTTGCTTTTGACCATAAGAGATGCCGCCAGATGTGGATCACTTTCTCTGTCAGCCAATTTGTAGGTAAAAACTTGCCTTCTTATGATGTTTTTATTTTCCCTCTATATCAGTTCTCTATTAGTCATCTTTTTATTATTTATTTCCAATATTAATTATTCAAGTTCTGGTTCATTGGTTGTGCCATAGGTGACAATGATCTCTTGTGTATTCTTCATTTCATGCAAAACTCTGAATTGCAACTTTCTTAGGCTACTGATGGGGAACGAGAAAGAATTGGATGAGGATTAGGAATCAATTTTAGAGTTAATTTCTAATTTATATTTTTAATAGGTTTTATTGCTTTATATAGAATTTAACTATGTTAGTTTTTATTTTGGAAACTTCAAATTAGGTTTTCTTTGGCTATCTATAAAAGGCCATTACGTATTAGGGTTATTCAACTTTTGATTATTGAAAAGATAATACTGAGATTGAGATTTAGGGTTCAATTTTCTTTTCTTTGAGTGTGGTTAGTTATTTTTGTTTACATTTTGATTTTCTGGTCATCCTACATTAGCTACTGAGCGTCGTCATTGGTCATGAAATATTTGTTTGAATGATTTTGAAAGCAAATTAAGCAGCTTGGGTAGGGCAGTTACAGAAAAAGTCATGGTTCAAACCTACTCTGAATCAACTTAGTGGTATTTGCATGATGTTTCCAAGCTCCATGCTCCAACAAGGAATCAAATCATCTTTTTCTTTTTCACTAGTTTCATACAAGATACCTAAAAGACATCAAAATGAAGATATCGTAGATAATCTGCAAAATCAGTCTTTGCGACCTTCAGGATGGAAGTAGGTACTGGAAGGCATTTTTATCCTTTGCACAAGAATATCCTATCTAAGATGCAAGGATATGTGACACAACATTGAAAATTTCAAAAAAATGTAGGATACAAGAAGTGGGGACACACGTAACATATATAATTTTATGTATTTATAAAATGACATATATAAGGATAAACTATTATTTTATATCATATATATGAATATTTAATTTAAATATAATAATTTTAAAAATCTTGAGGAGGAAATTATGTATAAATTTACATTATTTTTCTTATATCATTGGATTTCAAGTTATTAAATTCAAACTTGTAACGTATTCCATATGTGTCTAAGTGATAGACACATGCGTTCCCCAAGTGTCTAAAGTGTGTCTGAGTCCAAATTCAAAAAATAAAAAATAAATAATTGGACATGTTTGGACATGTATCTAACAAGTGTTGGGATCCGACAAGTGTTGTGCTATGCTGTGTTGGTGTCTGGCATGACATGCTACCTTCTTAAGTGTCAGTGTTTCTTAGTATGCTATGCACTTGAATTTTCCAGTTTTTGCATATATTGAGTTAGAATTAACATATACTCTCTTTTTACGCAGGATACTACATGTTTGAGTTATTTTGTAAATGTGTGTTTGGTGTACTGATTGCCTTTTAGGTTTAAAGTTGGATCTTTGGAGGATTGAATTTGGGAATGGGAGTTCCATGGAAGCTACATGGCTAGGTGATAGTCTTACTAGGTGAGTTTCAAAATCGCTATATCAATGATCCTTCATTAGTATATTGTATAGTCTTGTTAGTATATAGTATAAAAATCCATTCATTTCTATGTATCATCGATAAATTTAGAGTGGTGCCACAATGTGCAACTGCCCAAGCCACTTGTGAGTGTGTGCTGTCGCACCGTCCTTGTGGGCACCGGCATGCACTCAAGTATAGTACCAGTAACATTTTTTCTAACATAAAATAAAATATACTATATATGAGCACGGATAAAGGTTTCTACGTTTTTGTAGACGAGCTCAGATAAAGAAGTTAGTCCAAGACTATAGGTTTAGAGAAGCCACATGGAATGTAGGGACTTTAACTAGTAAGACTATGGAACTGGTAGATGTCATAATCAGGAGGAGAGTTAGTACAGCTTGCATACAAGAAACTAAGTGGACGGGTGAGAAAGCTAGGAAATAAAGGATATCGGTTTTAAACTATATTATAGTGGCAACGATAGACACATGAATAGGATAGGAATAATAGTTGCCAAGGGTCTTGTAGAAAATGTAGTTACGGTCATTAGGAAAGGTGATAGGATTATGTTAGTTAAACTAATTATTGGAGAGAGTAGTGAACATTATTAGTGCATACGACCCCCAAGTAGGATTAGATGATTAGATTAAGAGAGATTTTTGGGACCAAATGGATGAGGTATTACAGGAGATACTCGTAGGATTGAACTTAGGCCTCGTTTGGGAAGCAATCAGTTTAGTCAAAAACTCAAAAAGTTACTAAAAAAGCCAAAAAGCCAACAACTTATACCAAAAAGTCAAAGATTCTCTTTTCTCTTTATTTTTTGCACATCTTTTCGTAAAAAGCCAAAAAGTCATCCCAAACATACTAGTTTTTTTTAGCTCATATTTTAGCCAAATAACCAAAAAGTTACTAAATTAGCCTGTTCCCAAACGAGGCCTCAGTTATAGGTGGTGATTTCAATGGTCATATAGGAATAGATAAACTAAGATATGAGAAGGTGCATGGTGGATATGGTTTTTGTGACAGAAATGACACTGGAGTATTTTAGATTTTGTGTTGGCTTCTGACCTGGTGGTAGCCAATACCATGTATAAGAAAAGAGAGGAGTATTTGATAACCTTTAAGATTGGGTTAATTAGGAGCCAAATAGATTACTTTCTAGTAAGAATAGTGGATCGTCTAAAATGCAGTGACTATAAGGTGATGGCTGGAGAGAGCTTGACGTCTCAACATAGGATTTTGGTATTAGATTTAAGCCTTAAAGGGAAATACCAAGCTAAGAAGGATAGTGGGAGTCAAAGGACGAGATGGTGGGATTTAAAGGGGATAAATTAGAAATATTTAAGAATAGAATGGATAAAGAAGGTACTTGGGACTTGGAAGAGAATGCTAACACTGTGTGTCGATGACCAGTTGTATGAGGAGAAGAATTTTAAGAGAAGTTCTTGGAGAGTTGAAAAGAAAAGGACCCAACTCTAGGGAAACTTGGTGGTGGACGGAGGGGGTTCAAGTAGTAGTAATGATGAAAAAAAACGCTTTAGAAAGTGGCAGTATGATAAAACTGATGAAAACTTTAAGTGCTACAGATTGGCTAATAAGGAGGTTAAAAAAGAAGTGAGAGAGACTAAGGTAGGAAAGAGGGAGAGAAGATGATATACAAACTTGCTGAGATAAGAGAGAGGAAAACAAGAGGCTTTAATCAGGTTAAGTGCATCAAGAGTAAGAACTATAAGGTGTTGGTGAAGGATGAACAGATTAAGGAGAGGTGGAAAAACTATTTTGAGAAGTTGTTAAATGAAGAACATGGAGGTAGGTCAAAAGGGGAGGAAGTAGACAGTAATAAGGAAAACTAGGACTACAGGTTCTATCGTAGGATTAAAAATTTTGAAGTGGAGATTACACTTAAGAAGATGAAATCAAATAAGGCTTGAGGACCCAATGATATCCCTATTGAAGCTTGGAAATGTTTGGGTAAGAAGGGGGTGGCTTGGTTGACTAGGTTATTTAGTAAGATTTTGTTGACTAGGAAAATGCCAGAGGAATGGAGGAAGAGTATCTTAATGTCAATCTATTAGAATGAAGGAGATGTTCAGAACTGTAACAACTATAGAGGAATTAAGCTAATGTGTTATATAATGAAAGTGTGGGAGAGAGTGATAGAACGTTGATTGCGAGATATAACAGAGGTGTCAGAGAATCAATTTGGGTTTGTGCCTGGTAGGTCAACAATGGAAGCGATCTATCTTTTGAACAGAGTAATAGAAAAGTATAGAGAAAAGAAAAAAGACATTCATATGATTTTTATTGATCTTGAGAAAACATGTGATAGAGTGTCTCGGGATATAATTTGGTGGGTGTTAGAGAAGAAAGGGGTGACAAAAGGTTACATTAATGTAATTAGGGATATGTATGAAGGTATGGTGACCACTATTAGATTGCCAGTTGAGGAGACAAGTGAATTTCCAATTACTGTAGGGTCACACCAAGGATCAACCTTAAGTCCTTATTTTTTTGCTTTAGTTATGGATGCGTTGACGAGAAATGTTCAGGATAATGTGCCATGGTATATGCTTTTTGCAGATGATATCGTGTTAGTAGATGAGTCTAGAGAAGGATTTAACACTAAGTTAGAGATTTGAAAAGAAGCAATTGAATCTAAAGGATTTAAGATAAGCATAATTAAGATAGAGTACATGGAGTATAATTTTAGTAACAGTAACAATAAAAGCAGAGTAGAAGTGAAGATTGAGGACTAAGCATCACCTAAGAGTGAACATTTTCATTATTTAGGATCGATTATCACAACGGTTGGGGAGATTAGAGTAGACGTGATCCATAGAATTAAGGCAGGGTGGCTTAAGTGGAGGAGTGCGTCTGGGATATTGTTCGATAAACGAGTACCCACTAGACTAAAAGGGAAGTTCTATAGAACGGCTATTAGACCAGCGATGTTGCATGGGACGGAATGTTGGGCAACTAAGAAACAATATGTAGATAAGATGAGTGCTGCTGAAATAAGGATGCTTAGATGGATGTGTAGCAAGATTAGAAAAGACAGAGTTAGAAATAAATATATTCGAGAATGAGTAGGAGTAGTACCGATAGAAGATATGTTGAGGGATAATAGATTGACATGGTTTGGTTATATACAATGGAGACCAAGAGAGGTAGTAGTGAAGAGATGCGATACAATGATGGTAAATGGAAGTGTTAGAGGAAGGGGCAGACCTAGATTGATATGAATCTCCTTAATTTGACTAACGATATATGGCCTTGGATAGAGTCGAATGGAGAAGAAGGATTTATGTAGTCGAACCCATTTGATGGGACTTAAGACTTAGTTTGGTTTAGTTTAGTTATAAGTAATAAATTTTTCTAACATAAAGTTGATTGAAAAAAGGAATATCATACCAATGTCCTGCAACACCTTTTTATTCGTGGTCCAAACGGGTATCCATTTAAATGAAGTTGAAAATGTACTCATCATGGTTATCAAGATGAGATTTGTTAGTCCCTCTCCAAATCATAGCTAAATTGAACTATTGACCAAAAAATCTCCTTCCACTTCCATGACACCAACTCCTAGTTCACACTAGTCCCTCATTCATCAACCTTCCCTATTCTGCTCTCTCTCCGTGTCTTTCTTTCTCACACACTCACTCAATCACACATGCACGCATGGAAACTAGCATAAGTATGCCAACCTTGTTTTATTAATAGCAACATGAACATAGGAGAGATGGGCAGCAAGAAGGGCCTTGTAATTTGTAAGGTCGTCACCGGATAACGAACTTCGCGGAATTCGCCATCTGATTAGAAAGGGTCGTTCCAATAGAGAAAAATATTAACGCTGCTTTAGTCTTCGATGGCTATCATCCTGATCGAATCCGGGGTCAGATAAACGAGATAAGGGAAGGAAAACTATGGTAGCATTTGATAGAGCTTTCTAAATATGATTTGAGAATAGGAGTTGTATTTTGAGTTTGTGAGTTTTGGAATTATGATTTGAGTGTGGAAAATTTGTTTGGTCAATGAGTTTTGAATTGAGTGGAGAATTTTTAATGTGACATATGATATTTGATACAAAAACTTACAACTCATAACTAAACACACAACTCAAAATTCTATTAAGGCTCATAAAAAAATTTAAAAAATTCAGAAAATATTTTTTGTTGAATATATAAAAATTAACATGTGTCAATTGCCACAAAAAAAAATAAATAAATAAAAAATAAAATAACATGTGTCAATTGCCAAAAAAAAAAAACAAAAAAAAATTTGCATTATTCTGGTCAACCGGCCAAACGATCGGTGGGACAACCGGTTAGTCCAAATTTTTCTGCCTCCAACCGAGTTTTCAAAAGTGAATGTAAAATTAATTTTTGAAAGCTGCAAATTTACACCATGTGAGAACATTATACTGAAACTAAAGTTCCAAAATTCAAACAAACCGAGCCTATAAATTTCCAATTTCTCCAACATGGTCTTCAACAGAGGCAAGTTCCTTCTTCTACTGCAATATTTGGTTATAATCTCTGAACATGCATTTTTTGGTCACCATCCCTTTTGCCACTCTATACAAACTGATAGAGCTGCACTTCTTGCATTCAAAAGAAGCATATCATCCAACCCATATTCTGTACTTTCCAACTGGAATGAGGTCACTCAGGTGTGCAACTTCACTGGTGTCAGATGCAATACAAAGCATCATTGCGTGACAAAACTCATCCTCCATAATGCCGAACTTGTGGGGAAGCTATCACCCTTCATTGCAAACCTGACTCGGCTTCGATTCCTACAACTTGTGAACAATAACATCTCTGGCATCATTCCGCCAGAATTCTCCTCCCTCCAGCACCTTAGCAGCCTCTGGCTCGAGGGGAACAATTTGGAAGGCCAGATGCCAGATTCCTTCTCTCTTCTTACCAATCTTGCCTTTGTAAATCTACAGGCAACAAACTAACAGTTAAAATTCCAGCTTCCTTCTTCTCTAACTGCACATTGTTGAGAAATGTAGACCTCTCCATGAACTTTCTCACGGGAAATTCCAACAGAAATTAGAAATTGCCCGGGTCTATTGAGCCTCACTTTGTATAATAACCAGTTCACTGGTGAAATCCCATTTTCAATAACCAATGCTTCATTGATGTTTAATTTGGATGTGGAGAATAACCATCTCAAAGGTGAATTGCCTTCAGAGAAAGTAGCAAATCTACCCGAACTTCTATATCTTCATTTATCATATAATGACATGGTTAGCCATGCCAACGACTCTAATCTTGTTTCTTTCTTCACTGCCCTAAAAAATTGCACTATTCTAGATGAGCTTGAATTGGCCGGTATGGACCTCGGAGGAAGGTTGCCTAGTTCCATTGGCCAACTTTTTGGTAACCTGACATCTCTGTTGCTTCAAGAAAACAGGATTGCAGGATCAATATCTCCAACTTTGGTGAATCTAACTCAACTCACGGCGCTGAATTTGGCATACAATCTTTTGAGTGGAACCATTCCAGCAGAAATCAGTCAGTTATCGTACTTGGAACAATTGTTCTTATCTCACAATTTTTTCACTGGCTCTATTCCAGCAGCAATGGGACAGTTTCAACATCTTGGTCTGCTTGATGTATCAAACCACTGACTTTCTGGTGAGATCCCCAAAAGTCTAGGAGATTTGGCCTGATTAAATTATATGTTTCTTAACCACAACCATGGTTGTTAGAATTGTACGATTCACAATTCAATTTATACGATTTGATACGAGTTTCAATAAATTCTATTTATTCGATTTTGACCCTGAATTTATGAATTTATCTCAAGTTAGTCCAATTGATTACAATTATTAACATTTTTTAAGAAAAAAATACGCACATAAGTGACATATGTCATGTTTTTAGAGACAAAATTATAAACTTGCTCAACTCAATGATTAACCCAACTAATTCAGTGCTTTTTTTTTGTCAAAAACACTATCGGTGTTATCAATCGGACCAAATTGACACAAAATCTAAATTAAAGGTTAAAATTGAGCTAAATAAAAGTGTATAAACTAAAATGACACAATGAACAAAATATAGAGACTACTAATATAATTTGCTATTTTTTTATTTCAAAGTCATATTTGACAGAGAACATTAGCTAAAAAAAGGGGGTCTTATAATAAACTTGACAGGAAATTGCGTTTCAATGGAATAAAAAAGAAATATTTTATTTTTATGGTGGTGTGCAAGTCCATTTTTATGTTTGATATAAGTATTTCCTATGTATCAGAATTACACAAAAAAGATATCATTTATAATACAATTACCTTTTGACTTTTCTCGAAAAAAATTACTTTATGACTGTCCTATTAATTTTCAATTTTTCGTAACCTTGAATCGCTATTGCTTTCTTACACCATGTGAATCATATTTTGGTATGGAGAATTGATAATTTAATATCATTTTATTTTAATTTTAATTCGAGTTATTAAATATATGTACATAAAATAAAAACATTACATGAAAAATATGACAAAACAACCTTATCCAGTTGATACAAAAAGAAATTATAATTTAATCAGATAAAGTAACAAAGGCCCACTTTCTACAATTGTTGGGTAAATTATACTTTGCGCCATGCACTCTACATCCAATCATACTTTATTTCTTAACCTTTTAATCATCACAATTAAACCCCTAAGTTCGAGTCAAGTAGCAATTAGGCCTAGTCTTGTAATGTTGTTCCAAAAATTGATGGAGGAATTAAAATGTAGGAATTAAAGTGAGATTTTAATAAAAGTACAAGGATGCTAAGGACGAAAGTGAATGACTATAGTGCGATTTTAGTAAAAATACAAATATGTTAAGTGTAATTAATACTTTCAAGTGTTTGTTTTTTGTTAATTTTCGAAACCACATTATATAAATGGGCTAAATTGTAACTTGACTCAAAAAATGGAAGACAGTGGGATTGGATATAAAGAGTGGGGGTGAAAGTGTAATTTGCACCCAATTATTTTTGCTGCTAATACTAGCAAGTGGCTACTGATTAGGACAGAACAAAATGTCCAAGTTTCAATACTATAACGAGATTAGCATATACTAGTAATTATCATCATCATCAACATCACTGCAATGGTTATCGTAACTTTCTTTTTTTAGGGCTGATAATGAGGCTAAAACCCTAACCTAAAGTAGCCACAATCAAACTTTTGCATAGAGAAAAACCATACAGCATAACTGAATTCCCTATTTCTAAATTCAGTGGTCCTAAGATCTAATGGGTAGTGAATAAAAAATACATAAGAAAAATTATACAAAATAACGTGTTGAGTTGTGAGCCTATCACCTTAAAATCAAAAATCCATCAAGGTGACTTTTATTTATAAAAATGTCACTGTCATGTCATTCTGGTTGATTTCTGTAAAAATAATTTTATCGAAGAATAGTATTTTAATCTAATCCTGAGAGTGAAATCTAATCAGAAGATAATGTTGAAGAAACATTAGCAAACAGTCAGATTCATGAGAGAGAGAGAGAGAGAGAGAGAGAGAGAGAGAGAGGGAGAGGTAGGTATGACTTCTTATTAACCAAAACTACCATCTTGCATTACATATATTAGCCTCTATATGTCCAATGTGCTCAACAGTTCCTAAACCAAGCTACAAAAATGGGAAAAGAGGTATCTGAGAAAATCCTAGTTGGGATACAGGAAAATATGAAACTTTGGAGAGAGAGAGAGAGAGGAAATGTTGGCCAAATTAGGAGATGCCCAATCTGTATCAAAATGAAATACAAGAATACAAGACCAACCGTATGTATTAAAACAAACTACAAAATTATCAAAAGCATTACCTTAATGAGGGAAACTGGGAAAGCATTTCAGGTTCAGGAAAGCAAAACGGACACTGAAATTTTTTTCTCAAATCTTCTCTCATCAAATCCTGCAACTTCAGACACAGAAAGTTGAACACAAGTCAGCACTTGAACTATCAACTGCACTTCTCAAGGTTTAAAGTTGATTAAAAGAAGGAATATCATCTACCAATGTGTTGCAGCAACCCTTTTCTTGTTCTCCCAAGTGGGCTTCCATTTAAGTTTAGTTGAAAATCTACTCATCATGGTTGCAACCCCATCAAAGATCAGAGATTGGTTTTTTTTGGTCCTTCCACAAATCATGCCTAAATTGAACAGTAACTACTCATTCCAAAAGATCTCCTCCCACTTCCATTAACAACCACCCCTATTTCACACAAGCCCCTCCAGTCATCAGCCTTCTCTTCTCTCTCTCTCTCTCTCTCATATACACGTGTGGCATGGAAACATGCATTAGTATGCCAGTCTTGTTCTATTTGTATGCACATGGAGAGAAAGGCAGAACAGAGGGTCTAATAAAGGAAAACTATCATTGGGAGCATCCAATCTCTCCATCATGATCTTCAACAGAACCATGTTCCTTTTTCTACTACAATATTTGGTTATAATCGCTGGACAACCAATTTCTGGCTATAGGCGCCACTATCCTTCTCACCACTCTTTACAAACCGACAGAGCTGCACTTCTTGCATTCAAAAACACCATATCATCCGACCCATATTCCGTACTTTCCAACTGGAATGAGGGTCACTCAGGTGTGCAACTTCACTGGTGTCAGATGCAATACAAAGCATCATCGCGTGACAAAACTCATCCTCCGTAATGCCGAACTTGTGGAGAAGCTATCCCCTTCATTTCAAACCTCACTCGGCTTCGAGTTCTGTGGCTTGTGAACAATAACTTCTCTAGCATCATTCCGCCAGAATTCTCCTCCCTCCAGCACCTTAGCAGCCTCTGGCTCGAGGGGAACAATTTGGAAGGCCAGATACCAGATTCCTTCTCTCATCTTACCAGACTTGCCTTGGTAAATCTACAGGCAAACAATTAACAGGTAAAATTTCAGCTTCGTTCTTCTCTAACTGCACAATGTTGAAAAATGTAGACCTCTCCATGAACTTTCTCATGGGAAATTCCAACAGAAATTGGAAATTGCCCGGGTCTATGGTTCCGCGCTCTGTATAATAACCAGTTCACTGGTGAAATCCCATTTTCGATAACCAACGCGTCATTGACGTGTAATCTGGATGTGGAGAATAACCATCTCAAAGGTGAACTGAATTGCCTTCAGAGATAGTAGCAAATCTACCCGAACTTCTCTATCTTCATGCATCATATAATGACATGGTTAGCCACGATAACAACTCTAATCTTGTTCCTTTCTTCACTGCCCTCAAAAACTGTACTATTCTAGACAAGCTTGAATTGGCCAATATGGACCTCGGAGGAAGGTTGCCTAGTTCCATTGGCCAACTTGTCGGTAGCTTGACATCTCTGTTGCTTCAAGAAAACAGGATTGCAGGATCAATTCCTCCAACTTTGGTGAATCTTACTCAACTCACGATGCTGAATTTGACATACAATTTTTTGAGTGGAACCATTCCAGCAGAAATCAGTCAGTTATTGTACTTGGAACAACTGTTCTTATCTAACAATTTTTTCACTGGTTCTATTCCAGCAACAATGGGACAGTTTCAACATCTTGGTCTGCTTGATCTATCAAACAACAGACTTTCTGGTGGGATCCCCAAAAGTCTAGGAGATTTGGCCTGATTAAATTGTATGTTTCTTAACCACAACCATGGTTGTTAGAATCATACGATTTATGATTTATACGATTTGATACGAGTTTCAATAATTGAGTGAATCATGCGATTCAATTTGTGATTCACTACGATTCATTGAGATTCACTGCCATTCGGTTCTATGTTTGCTTTTGTTTCCAAAGTGCATAAAACGACTTCATTTCGCCAAATTATGAAGATATATATAATAGATCAGTTAGTTATATTGATATATATAATTTTATAAGTAGATGTTGTGAGAATATAGAATATATTATTGTGTGTTTTGTACAAATTAGAGTCCTATTAGAGGCATGATTGTGTTAGAGTCCTATCAGAGACATAATTATAATTATATTTGTATTTTCCTTTTTGGCTTAGGATTTAGGGCTATATAATCTAAGGTCTGATTGTAATCTTTGATACAATGGAATATACAGAAAAGCTTTCAGAAATCTTACATGGTATCAGAGTAGGTCACGAAACCCTACATCGTCTGTTGAAGAGTGTCAGAGATCCTCTCTAATCCAGTCGTCTGATTTGGGCTTTGTTGGGTAATCGTCAGAATCACGGTCTTCTGTCACCAGAATTGCGCGTCGTTGGTTCAAACTGGTTCGCGATCCATCTCTCTCACAGACCTAGTTGTCAATTGAAGCTCCTTGCTTCGTGGGTCGTTTGTTCGTCTCTTTACCACGTCTAGGTCTGGTTCCTCTCGTGACCCATCTAGTCGACCTCTAGTTCGTCTCTTTGCTCTCTCGACCTTTGACGTGGTTCCTCTTCTTCCTGGTTAACTTGGGTGACCCATCTGGTCGACCCATCTGTTTGACGTGGTTGTAGTGCTTCGACTCCTCACAGCTCAGTCTGCCTCTCTCCTTCTGGTTCTCTCGACTTCTATTTGTCTCTCTCGGCTTCTCTTGACTTCAGTCGGTGGTCTCTCTATCTCTGAGTTTGCTAGTTTGCTTTGGTCTTTTAACGGTGATCTCTCTCTTCGTGGTTTATATCTGATTTCAACCCACCAAGTCTTTGACCCATTTGTGCTAGTTTTTGGGTTATTACAATTTGACCCCTCATATATTTTGAGTTATTACACTTTGCCCCCTCAGATTTTGAGTATTACACTTAAACTCTTGGTTTGGCTATTTTGTTTGATTATACTTGAACCTCTCAGTTTTCTGATTACTATGATGTCTCTGGCTTCTGATGAGTGTGCTTTCTGCCATCAGAAACGCCATTGGAAGTACCATTGTCCCAAGAAGAGATGTCTGTCTGCCGCCACATCTTTTCAGCAGTCTTAGAATCAATTCTAGGCTTCTCCCGTTGCGTACACTACATCCGCTCCAGCTCCTGATCCTAACTTGGCTTGCTTAACTGCTCAGATTAGTCAGCTCCAGCATATATTGTCTACCTCTCAGCCATCCCCATTTGCCTCAATTGTTTCCTCTCTTCATTCAGGTTTGCTTGGTTCTTCTTCAAGTATTTCTTCGTCTGTTTGGATTTTTGACTTTGGTGCTTTTTATCATATGACTTCTTATCTCTCCTTACTTCAAAATTGTACTCATCCTCCCTTTCCTATTACTGTCAATGTTACTTATGGATCTGGTATGTCTGTTGTATTTGTTGGGTCTGTCTTACCGTCTGCTATGTCTGCTGTCTCTATTCCATCTGTCCTTTATGTTTCTCAGTTATCTGTCAATTTATTATCTATCAGTTAACTTGATGCTGTTGGTTTTGATGTTATCTTTTCTTCTGCTATCTGTTCTGTACAGGATCGAATGTCTAAGCAGCAGATTGGGACCGGCCGTAGAATTGGAGACCTCTATGTAGTGGAGAGCTTGCATCTGCCTATAGCAACCTCTTTGACTGCCTTTTTCTCCTTTCAGTTAGATTCTCTGTCTAGTCCTTTCTACTTATGGCATTATCGATTAGGGCATTTGTCCGCTAACCGCTTACGATCTTTAGCTCAGTCAGGTATTTTGGTAAAGTTTCTCCTAGTGAACTTACTGAATGTCGGGGGTGTAAACTTGCCAAAATGACAGCCTTACCTTTTCGTAAAAGTACTTCTATATCTGATACACCGTTTTCTTTAGTTCATACTGATGTTTGGGGCCCTTCTCCTGTTCTCACCAAAAGGGGTTCTACATACTATGTGCCATTTGTTGATGATTGCACCTGTTACACTTGGGTTTATTTTATGACTTATAAGTCCGATTTGTATCAGATATACCGTACTTTTCAGTCTATGATTACTACTCAATTTGGGTCTACAATTAAAGTGTTACGGTCTGACTTGGATGGAGAATATTTTAAAAATGAGTTCTGTGAGTATTTGGCCAATTTGGGTACCATTCACCAAACTTCCTGTACAGATACACCTGCCCAAAATGGTCAAGCCGAGCGTAAACACCGTCATCTTCTTGAGACCGCTAGGTCTCTTCTTCTCTCTGCCTTAGTTCCGGCTCCATTCTGGGGAAGACAGTTCTTACTGCTGCTTTTCTTCTCAATCGCATGCCTACTCCCCTTATTTCTGGTCGGTCTCCTTATGAGGCTTTGTTCTCCCAAATTCCTAACTATTCCCTCTTTCGTGTGTTTGGGTCTGCCTGTTTTGTTCTTCTTCCCCGCGAAGATAGGACCAAACTTAGTGCCCGGTCTGTCCTCTGTGTCTTTTTAGGTTATAGTCCTACTTAGAAAGGTTATCGGTATTACGACCCTGTTTCCAGTCGTCTTTATGTCTCCCGTCATGTTGCCTTTCTTGAACGTCTATCTTACTTCCAACTTTCCCCTTTCACTGCTCCAGTTTCCAAAGAAGATTTTGTTCACATTGACCCATTTCCTTCTGAGGTCTCGTCTGATGAGTACATTTCCACTGTTCCCCTTGAGCTTGTTCCATCTTCTCCTCCTATCCCTCTAGCTTCTTCTCTTCATTCGGCTTCTTCTCCTCCTCCTCTGTTGTTAGTTTATTCTCGTTGCAAGGCTCCTCCTCCACCGGTTGTCTCTGCCCTTGCTGCTGATCCCTTTGCTTCTGACGACTCTGATCCTACTACACACCGATATCCTTCTCGAGCACGTCATCCTTCAAACAGGTTGGGTTGGTCTAATACTTATTTTTCTACTTCCTATTGTACCTTTTTGTCTGCTATTCACTCTAGAACCTTAGTCTTACAAAGAGGCCTGTCAGGATCCTCATTGGGTTCAAGCTATGGAGGATAAGTTGTCTGCTTTGCAAAAAACTAGTACTTGGGAGTTGGTTCCTTTGCTTGCTGATAAGAACCTGGTTGGTTGCAAATGGGTCTACAAAGTCAAAACTCATTCTGATGGTTCTCTTGAGCATTACAAAGCTCATCTGGTTGCCAAAGGTTTCTCTCAAGAGTATGGTATTGATTATGAGGAGACATTTGTTCCTGTTGCCAAAATGACTACTATCCGTATTTTGATCTCTGTTGTTGCTGTTCGTTCTTGGCCTCTTTATCAGATGGATGTTAAGAATGTTTTTCTTAATGGCCATCTCACTGAGGAGGTTTACATGCGGCCTCCCCCTGGCCTTCACCATCCCTCTGGTCAGGTTTTTCGTCTTCGGCGTGCTCGGTATGGTCTAAAGCAGTCTCATCGTGCTTGGTATGATCGATTTCAGACTGCTGTTACCGAGCTCGGGTTTCATCCTTCTGCTTCCGACTCTGCTTTATTTCTGTGACATACATCGGCTGGTTTTGTTGCTCTCTTACTCTATGTAGATGATATGATCATCACTGGCTCGGACTCTTCTGTTATCTCTAAGGTCAAATAGCATCTTTTCCGCACCTTCGAAATGAAGGATCTAGGTCCATTACGGTATTTTCTTGGTATTGAGGTTGTTTATTCTCCCAAAGGCTATTTTCTGTCTCAGGCCAAGTATGCTAATGAAGTCATTCATCATGCTAGTCTTACTGATACTAAGGTTTCTGATACACCTATTGAGCTTAATGTGAAGCTTAACTCTATTGATGGTGTCCTTTTGGATGATCCCATTTTATATCGCGAGCTCGTGGGTTGTTTAGTTTATTTGACTATCACTCGCCCTGATCTTGCTTATGTTGTTTATGTGGTTAGTCAATTCGTTTCTGCTCCTCGCTTTACCCATTGGGCTACTTTGGTTCGCGTTCTTCGCTATCTCAGGGGTACCATCTTTCATGGCTTATTGTTGTCCTCTACTTCCTCTTTGGACTTGGTGGCTTATGCTGACTCTGATTGGGCCGGTGATGTTACTGATCGTAAGTCTAAGTCTGGTTTCTGTATGTTTCTTGGAGATTTCTTGATCTCTTGAAAAAGTAAGAAACAATCAGTCGTTGCTCGCTCTTCTGCCGAAGCTGAGCATCGTGCTATGGCTCATGCCACTGCTGAGATTGTTTGGCTTCGTTGTCTCTTGTCTGATTTGGGTGTCTCTCAGTCTTCTCCGACATCTCTCTATTGTGACAATCGCAGTGTTGTTCAAATTGCCTACAATATTGTCTTTCATGAACGGACGAAACATATTGAGATTGATTGTCACTTGTTCGCCAGCATCTGCAGTCTGTCTCTATCTCTCTTCCTTTTATCCCTTCGGCTTTGCAACCTGCGGACTTCTTTACCAAAACTCACATTACCGCTCGGTTTCAGTTTCTTCTTAGCAAACTCTCAGTGTTTTATGCTAAAACACCTTGAGTTTGAGCGGGGGTATGAGAATATAGAATATATTATTGTGTGTTTTGTACAAATTAGAATCCTATTAGAGGCATGATTGTGTTAGAGTCTTGTTAGAGACATAATTATAATTGTATTTGTATTTTCCTTTTTGGTTTAGGATTTAGGGCTATATAATCTAAGGTCTGATTGTAATCTTTGATACAATGGAATATACAGAAAAGCTTTCAGAAATTTTACAGGTGCATATATACAACTTAGTAATATTGATATTTACTTCATTTTAAACATTATGTTTGTGCTTTTATACTTATATAAATAAAGATATAATATTATATATTATATTAAATAAAATGAATGTTACGATTCACCATTCAATTCAGGATTTGACAACGATAACCACAAACTTTTTTACAGGTGCAATATCTCCAACTTTTGCAAATCTTACTTATCTCGAAGTGCTGAAGTTGTCGTCCAATCTTTTGAATGGTACCTTTCCAGCCGCAATCGGACAATGTCCAGATCTTTCATGGCTTGATCTATCAAATAACAGGCTTTCTGGTGAGATTTTGTACTAGTAAATTTTATGCTTCTTAACAACCACCTCCTTTCAGGAGCAATTTATCTACAAGTTTAGGACAGTGCACTGATCTCTATAAGCTAGACTTGTCCTATAACAGACTAACAGGGAACATCCCCTCCAAAATATCTGAATATTTCTGAATCATTCCCACAATCATCTTGAAGGGCCTTTGCTAATTGAACTCTGCAAGCTGGAAAATGATTGAAATTTCCTTAGTTTTGTCTTTGTTTGTATGAGTTGGAGTTTGTTTCCTTTTCTTTGACACAATATGACAACATGAAATAATAAAATTCGGTGATGGCTATCTGTATTGAAATGAAATTAAGGAATACAAGACTGACTGTACACGTTAATCTGTTGTACAAACTACAAAAATTCTCCATTTGAAAAGCATTAGCATACTGAGGGGAAAGAGCACTGAAGCCATTTTAGGTTCAGGAAACAAGGGACTGTGTGAAAACCTCTCAATCTTTTCTCTTACTAAAAAAAATCTAGCAGCCTTAGGAACTGAAAGTTGCACCATAGTCAGCACTTGAATTAGCAATGTGTTGCAACAACCCTTGGCTTCCATTTAAATTGAGTAAAAAATCTACTCATCATGGTTGCAACCTTATCAACATCATATATTGGTTATTTAGTCCCTCCACATATTATTCCAAAAGATTTCCTCCACTTCCATTAACAACCACCCTTGTTTCACGACAGTTCCTCATTCACCAACCAACCTCTCTCTCTCTCTCTCTCTCTCTCTCTCTCACACA